TAAAATTAACAAATAAATATATAATATATACATCATAAATAATGATTACAATATATTGAATAGAATTATTTTAAAAAATTAAATTCAAATTAAAATATTGAAAACTTACTTTTATTTATTGTTTATTCTTTTTTTTTTTTATTTTTGCCGAAACGATAGGGGAGCTATTATAAATCAAACGAGCACAAATGTGCGAATAAAGATACAAACTCCCAACGGGAGAATAAAGTGGGAGGACAGGTCAGAAGACCGCCTAGAATCCCGCTAGCAACGCTAGAAAAAACACGAAACTAAACAGACCCCAACAGGGTAATACTAACTAAACCAACTAAAACAACTAAAAGAAAAAACTAACAAGACCCCAACAGGGTAATACCGAGTGTCGGACCCCAACAGGGTAATAAAGTTGACACTCGGGAACACAGAGGCCAACGGCCCAAACCAAAAACACAGGACAAGGACACAGAGGCAAAACGCCCAAACCAAAAAACAAACTACCACAAAAAAAGAAAACAAAATAAGGAAAAAACATACATACGGCCCTTCCACGGTAGATCAGCAGGTCCAAACTAGCGGAGAACAGTCAATTTCAGAGATTAGTCCAAGTCTAGAGACGACTCCCAAAACTGCCACAAGGCCTATACAAGAAGTCGAACCCGAACACAAACCAAACTCCAAAACAACCCACCTCAACAGGAGGAACAATCAAACCCACTCGCACTCAAGCACTTCCGGAGCCTGGCTAACACCACTAGTCGAGCTAAGGATCACCCGAACCCCGCCGTCTAACACCACTAGCCGGAAGGGGGGAGGGTTCGAGCCCTCAGCCTCTACACACAAGCAGAGCTCCACCCCGCCTCGCAACCCACAAACCCATCAGTAAAAACGCACACCACCGGCACCGGCACCTGAACAAGAGCATCCCGAACGGGCCGTCGCTGGAAAAAAAGGACCCGCCTGAAGCCCTTCCTTCGCACAGAGTCTAAGACAGAGACAGAAGAGGCAAAATTGAGGTGGAACTCACCTCCAAATGAAATCGGGATACACCAATTGCAGAGCAACTGACGACCAAAGAGCCCGCCTCCATCGAACGCTGACTCCGACGAACTAGGGTTAGGCAGGCCGACGAATTCAAGCACCTCGTGGCAATACCTTAGGTCTGGAATAGCAGGGAGGGATGGCGGCCGAAGGCGACCGCTAAAAATATATTACTTTAAAATATATATTATTAAAAATATATTATTATAAAATATTAAAAATATAGATTATTAGAAATATATTACTTTTATTTTTATATAATATTACAAATATATTACTTTAGAAATACAAGTCAAATAAAATGTTGAAAACTTATTTTTATTTATTGTTTAATTAAAAAAATAAAAATATATAATTAAAAATATATTAATTTTTATTTTTATATATTATTAAAAATATATTATTTTTTATATATTAAAAATATATTACTTTTAAGACTTATTTATTATATATAATTTAAAAATTTATTATTTTATTTTTATATATTTTAAATATATATTATTTTTTATATTATTAAAAAATATATTATTTTATTTTTATATCTTGAGTTACCTTTCGAGCCGGTAAAATAGCCGCCGAGATCAATTCCCTCACTCTCAAGGAAAAGGTCGATGGTTTAGCTATAAGTGCGCTTCAAGAAAAAATCGTGTCCCAACTAGAAATTCTGTTGAGAGTAAAACCCCCAATCTAAAGCAAAGCGAAACCTGAGGGCCATGGCCTCGGCCGCTATTATTAAAAAAAAGCATTTATATATAATATATTTTTTTAAAAATATTTTATATTGTTTTTATAATAATGATGATGTCATCTTGGCCAGAACGGAAATGCAGAGAGTTTTCTACCAATCACGATATGAGGGATTTTGTGGATTGAATTGTCGTGAGTGGTCACTCGGTCTCACAACGGGAGCTTTGTTTAAAAGGGCTAGTCAAATGCCTTATTTATTTAAATGACCCTATGAACATTTTTTTTTTTGTTTTGTTTAAGTAACTCATTGATTAATTAAAGTTAAATAAATAAATGAAATACCAAAAATATCCTTACATGCTAAATGACTATAATAGCCTTCTTCTTTTGTAAGTTACCAACTTTGTAATAAAAAAAAATAAAAATAAAAATAAAAAATAAAAAATCAGAATTTTGATCGTCCCCGTCGGCTCCCCTCTCTTCTCTCTCACTTCTCGCTCGCTTCTCTCTCGTGCGCTTGCTCCTCTTTGTCTTGCTCTGCTTCTCTTGAAAAGGTGAGAACAAAATATGATCATTACACATAAACTTTGGAATCTATATTGCAATGAAAGTGAACGACCAACTATTAAAGCATTAAAGCATATTAGGGTTTGTTGTTATTTTAGAGATAAAAGATTTTGGTTTATATTATATGATTGATAAACATGTTGGTTTCATATTTATCATGTTTTTGTGCATTGAGGTTCTTTTTTTCAATTTTTTTAAATATAACGAATGTAGAGTCGTTATGTAGTTTCATAACAATTATACATTCGTTACTTTGCACAGTCGTTATGTCGCGGGCACGGGAAGATATCGCGGGGCGTGACACTGGGGCTGTTCGGTAGGAAAGACAGCTTGCCAGGATGTCACGGTCGCGACGCCTGTCGCCGTAGCGACATGCCCAATGTCGCGGTCGCGACTCGCGTCGCTGGCGCGACGTTCTGGCATGATTTCTGTTCGAAAATAATGAGCCCCAGTGTCGCGGCCGCGACAGTTTCCGCGCCTTTGACGATTTGATTGTGTTATATAACGACTGTAGAATCGTTATTGAGTGTAGATCCGTTATTTAATGATTATTTCATAAATAATGTACTTTCGTTATGACTAAAATAGTAATAGTTGGTTATATATAAATTGTGAAGAGTAAATTTAAGAGCATTGTATATTATCTCCTATTTTAGTAACATGTGTTTCCACAATTATCTTGTTCAATTGAAGTAACATATATATTTTTTTTTCTTGTAGATATTGATTTTAGCAAAGATGGTGTGGATACAAGTATGCTACTATGTTGAGTTTAAAAATAATACGAATGACACTTGGACGTGGAGATATGTGAATGAAGATGAAATGAATGTCAGAGTTATTTTCGTACGCGACGACATATCTTTCTTGGAACTTGAAGATGCGGTCATGAAGCTCATAAAGTTCGATAGCATCTCACACGTAATAGAATTGCAATCACTGAACCCAAGATTGATTAAACTTCCAGTCCCACCTGTGAAGATCGATTCATATGACACAGTCAAATGGTATATATCTATTTGTGACGATCATCCTCTTTGCGTAACAGTTGTCGAAAAACTTATTGAGGAAGAAACGAACAATGTTGAAGTTGAAAAAAAATGTTGAAGTTGAAGAAGAAACAAACAATGACAATTTAGAGGCGATCGAAACACTTACGTGGGAAAATGAAATTACCGAGCCGATCGAAGGTCAATGGAACATTATGGTGGAGAATAGAGATAGTCCTATGGAAACAAATGTTGAAGTTGTAGAAGAAACAAACAATGACAATTTAGAGGCGATCGAAACACTTACGTGGGAAAATGAAAATACGGAGCCGCTCGAAGGTCAATGGAACATTATGGTGGAGAACAGAGATAGTCCTGTGGAAACAAATGTTGAAGTTGAAGATGAAATAGCAAACACTTTTTTGATAGAAGAGGCTCGTGAGAATTTTTCAACAAAATATGCCATGGTTGGGAATGCAAGCTGCTCTATGAGTCCTCTCCGTTGTCCATCTTCTGTGATGATCCCAGAGAATGAAGATGTGCAATGTAACAATATCTTCTCAACCAAAAAGGACTTGGTAGATAAAATTTTGTTGTTGGCCTTGAAGTACCACTTTGAATTCCGAGTGGTGAAAAATCAACAAAAACCTTATATGTTGTTGCTTGTATTGAAAGAAATTGTCCTTGGCGTTTGAGAGTGGTGATGATCGATAGTGGTGAAATTTTTGTGGTACGTAAGTATGTCGGCAATCACACTTGCTCTATGAGTGTGCGTCGTAAAGATCACAGGCATGCGACATATAAGCTGATTGGGAAGCACATTTCCGAGAAGTATAAAGACGTCAATCGGATTTATAAGCCGAGGGATATTATTTTCGATGTCCAAGAGAGGTTCAGGATAACAATCAGCTACACAAAAGCATTTATGGCAAAGAATCATGGATTTGGTCTCATTCGAGGTTGCCCGGAAGAAAGTTACGCAAAGCTCCCTTCATATTGTTACTATTTGGAGCAAACAAATCCTGGGACGGTCACTTTCATCGAAACAAGTGAGGACGGCCATTTTAATTTTTTTTTCATGGCTTTGGGGCAGTGCATTCGTGGATTCCGCTCTTCTATCAAAAGAGTAACATCTGTGGATGGGACGTTCTTAACGAGGAGATATCGTGGTACTTTACTCATTGCTACATGTCAGGATGCAAATCTTCAAATTTATCCACTGGCTTGGGCAATAGTAGACTCCAAGAACCATCATTCTTGGACTTTTTTCTTTGAAAATTTGAAAGATATAACAGGTGATTCTCCAGATCTTGTTATAGTTTCAAATAGGGGAAGCCGTATTCCTGGTGCTTTTGTTGAAGTGTTTGAACATGCACATCACGGATATTGTAACTATCACCTGTTGAGAAACCTAAAATCGGAGTTTCCAAGGTTGGAATGAGTCGCATTGTTTTGGGCAACAACCGAAGCCTACACGATGTCTCGTTTCGAAAGCAACATGGCAGCATTATGCAATAAGCATAAGAAAATGCAGGCATACCTCGAGAAAGCCGAGTTGCACCATTGGGCTAGAGCACATTTTAGAGCAACTCGTTTCAACATAATGACGACAAACAATGTTGAATCGTTGAACTCTGTGCTAAAGCATGCTCGAGAATTTCCTATCCTTGGTCTTATTGAACATATCCGGGCAACACTGCAAAAGTGGTTCTACGATAGAAATCTTAATTCTACAAAATGCAGTAGTATTCTTACGCCACCATTTGAGCAGAAGATGCGCAACAGTTACAACGAGTCCAATGGACTAGAAGTGCTCAATGTATCCTTAATGATTTTGCAAGTTGGTGGAAGACATATAGTTGATCTGGAGGAAAGGTTATGCACTTGCCGGAAGTTTCAAGTGGATATGTTTCCATGTGCACATGCCATTGCCGCAATAAGATTTGAGAATGGCAACGGCTACAGATTCTGCACTGGAATGTATTCGAGCGCTTCTTGGAGAGAGACATACTCTCAACCCATTCACCCATTGTCTAGTGAGACCGATTGGATGGTTCCGGAACAAATTATGTCAAGAAGTGTGTTGCCGCCATTATCACGACGTCCAAGAAGCAGACCTACATTCGAACGGAAAAAATCAGCAGGTGAGGCTCGAAAAAAATCAACTTCTAAACCTCGCCAAATGCGTAACTGTAGCAAGTGTTCAAAACCCGGCCATAATCGTGGAAAGTGTGAGGAGATTAACCTCAATCAAGCGACATGAGGTTATATTTTCGACTAGTGTATTACTTTTTGACTTATAGTGTTTTCACTTTTGGTATAGTGTTTTGACTCGGTTATATAGTTGCTAAAGCTTGAAGTTGTATTTTGACTTGTGTATAATGGTTTATGTATCCAATGTAGTGATTATGATTGCTAAAAAAAATGAAGTGATTATTCAAATATTTTTACAATGTAGTTGGTAACGCCTATAGTCTCGTTTTATAGTATTATATAGTAGTATTACACAAAAAAAGTCTAAAAATATAAATATAACGAAAGTACAGTCGTTATCAACTATAAAATAACGAAATTACAGTCGTTATCAATATCGCGGGCGCGACAACGATCACGGGCGCGACACTGAAGCTGCAATTCGATTGGCAGAGATCTTCCCAGGATGTCGCGGGCGCGACAAGTGTCACGCGCGCGACACGCTGATGTTATTGTCTGGACATAAAGTTGTCCAGGACGTCGCGGCCGCGACGCGCATCGCCGGCGCGTCATATGCGATTGTCGCTAGCGCGATACGTGTCGCGGTCGCGACACAAAATGTGGACCTACAGACCCGCGCGACGGCCTATCGCGGCCGCGACAAGCAGGCTGTCGCGGGCCTTTTATTTATTTATTGATTTTTTTTTTTTGTAGTCGCGACGAAACTCATTTTGTGAAAGAATGATACTTGCTTCCTTGGTCATATACGTGTTAACGATTGTATGTTGGTCATATAGCAAATTGGAACGAAATATTTAAATAACACTTGTTTTTTTTATAAAAAAAAAAATAGAAATATGATGTAAAATGTTTGTAAAACCACTATAACGAGTGTACAGTCGTTATTTCAATGTTATAACGAATGTACATTCGTTATAGTTGTTTTTCGACTAATTCGAGGTTTCTTTATGGTTTTTTCGGTCGATTTACTTGATAACACATGTATATTCATGTTACATGTCATTGGATTGATAGTTTGAAGTTGTTAGATCATCGAAACCTTCATCACAGAACTATTTTCTTCAAACAACACTTGTTTTTTTTTAAAATGGAAATATGATGTAAAATATTTCAAAATTCATTATTTTAACTTGAAAAATGACTAAAATTAGATCTATTAAGAGTTTATTATCAATATAATGTATTAATTCAACATATATAGTCTATAGTATATAGTTTATAACATATAGTATAAAGTTTATATGACATATATTAATTCGACATATATAGTCTATAGTATATATTATATAGTATATATGTACTAATTTGTCTTTACTAAAATTATTCAAGTTCGATTACATTATAATTAATCGAGATTGTACTAATTTAACTTCAATTGTACTAATTTCACTTTGATTAGATTAATTCGTGTTTGATTATATTATAATCGATCGAGATTGTACCAATTTGACTTCAATTGAATTAATTTGACTTCAATTGTACTAATTTGACTTCAATTATATTAATTCGAGTTTGATTACATTATAATTGACCGAGATTGTACTAATTTGACTTTAATTGGACTAATTCGAGTTCGATTATATTATAATTGACCGAGATTGCACTAATTTGACTTCAATTGTACTAATTTGACTTTAATTAGATTAATTCAGTTCGATTACATTATAATTGATCGAGATTGTACTAATTTAACTTCAATTATACTAATTTCACTTTGATTAGATTAATTCGAGTTTGATTATATTATAATCGATCGAGATTGTACTAATTTGACTTCAATTAGATTAATTTAACTTCAATTGTACTAATTTGACTTCAATTACATTAATTCGAGTTTGATTACATTATAATTGACCGAGATTGTACTAATTTGACTTTAATTAGACTAATTCGAGTTCGATTATATTATAATTGACCGAGATTGCACTAATTTAACTTTAATTGTACTAATTTTATTTTAATTGGATTAATTCAATTTCGATTACATTTGATATGGGATATTATATACACAAGGCTAAACCGGTCTGCTTGGCCGGTCGAGAAGGTTAAACCAAGAGGGATCCAAGCCAAAAGGCGGGAAGATCGAACATTCAGTTAATCGACCAGGCAGATGGTCGATTAACCCATCGCTCGACCAGATACACGATCGAGCAACCTCAACAGGTCGATCGCTTCGAGGAACCAACAGTCGGTCTAGTTATGAGCGCGTGTATCACAGACGCGCGTAAGAGCCTTTAACAGAATTCCAGGAGAATATTTACACCATGTGCAGGGGGACACGTGTCGAGAAGGCAGTGGTGGATAGTGATAACCACCCCTGACAGCCTACCCCATGTGCAGGAGGACACGCGTCCAAAGAGGATTGGTGCAGGCGATAGTGGCGACGGCTACCTCTGACACACGCATTTGGTGTGTACGGACGGGCAGTTAGGGCAGACAGCTCATCAAAACTGTGCAGCCCTAGGTCAGGTATCTCACCCCTATATAAAGGGGGTGAGCCTTTCTTCTTCAACACGATCATTTTTGCTTACTCTTGAGAATTGATTGAACATACACTGACTTAAGCTTCGCAGGATCTTCACCGGAAAACCCCTTCGTTGTGAGAGTTCTTTATAGATGCACGATGTTCAACCGGAGAGAAGGAAGGCGATTATTCAAGTTCAAGCCGGTCGGGAAATTTTGTGTTACCATTTGGCGCCGTCTGTGGGGACTTTCGTTTGAGAAGTTGTGTTTGAAGCTCAGCTATGGCGGATGGAATCCCTAAAAATTTGCAATCGACGTTCGACGATGCTTGGACGACGAGCAGGCCGTTTGGACAAGGCCCTCCTCCGGGTTTTTCTGGCCCATCCCAGACACCGGTCACTCCTACGCTGGTTCTTCAAGGTGTAGGAGCGACGGCAGTGGTTCCCGGAGGAGATGCCGGCTCCAACCGTGCCCAGGAGATTCGCGCAGCGGATGCGGCGGCGATGCCACCACTGCCGCCACAAAACCCAACGGCCGCGCCTTTAGGAGGAGCAGCGGCGCAACCAGGGGGAGTAGCGGGACAAGGAGGGGCACCACCACAAGCAACAATGCAAATCCCCGGCCAGCAGGTGGTGATGACCAGACAGGAGATGCAACAAATGGTGGCGGAGGCAGCTGCCCAGGCGGTGCAGCAGGTCACAAACAGTCTCTCTCAGGCTACAGCGATGTCGAACATTGTTGCAGGGTCACGCCAAAATGCGGAGGAGGATGAATCCAGTTATGGTGGAGGCGGGCCCCCACATGACCGAGAGATGGAGAGAATGGCAGAACAGCTGCGCCAATTGCAGGCTAAGGTGGATGGTCGAGCAGAGAGACGCGCTCGAGGACACTTATTCTCGGCGGACATACTAGCAGCACCCTTGCCAAATAACTACAAGGATACCAACTTGGTGTTCGATGGGACTTCTGACCCGTCGAGACACGTGAGGACATTCGAAAATATGGCTGTGTTACATGGATATACTGACCCCGTTAGTTGCAGGGCCTTCTTATCGACCCTTCAGGTAGGAGCGCTCGACTGGTTCCAACAACTCCCCCCAGGCACGATTGTGGACTTCGAGGATTTTGCGGAGAAGTTGACAAATCAATATTCGAGCGCGGTGGCTCAGGAGAAAACGTGTTTGACACTGATGGCAATGAGACAAGGCGAGAAGGAGTCACTGCGTAAATATGTTGCTCGATACAATCAGGCTTGCTTGGAGATTCCGTCGGCGGTCGATGAGGTCAAGGCGGGAGCATTGATTAGGAGTTTGCGGGCAGGACCATGTCGAACTTCTCTAGCTAAGACTCCTGCTCATACGTATGATGAGGTGTTGAGGAGGTGTAGGAAATATATTAATCTCGAGGAGACCGAGGCAGAGTTTGCCAAGCTAGAGGAATTAGGTCGAGGGGAGTCGAGGAAGGAGAAAGCAGTTTCGCCTAAAAGGAGAGCCTCGCCCAGGAGAGAGGGGCGAGCTAAGCAGGATCGAGGGCGAGAGGACAGATGGAAGGACCGGCCTATCTCTGGAGGGAAAAGATTCTATGATTATACCCCGTTGAACGCGAAGGTAGCCGAGGTCTTGATGGCCGTGGAGAAAGGGATAGATGGGAAAGATGTGACGTGGCCAAGGTCGAGGTTCGAAGGGCCAACCCAACCGAAATCGAGTAGATATTGCCGCTTCCACAAAGACTATGGCCATACTACTGAGAATTGTCGGCATATCAAGGACGAGATCGAGCACCTTATTCGAGCAGGGCATCTCAAGGAGTTTGTTTATCAGGATAAGAGGAGGAAGAAGGAGAAGAGAAGGTGTCGGAAGGACTCGGTGGAGAAGAGCGAGGACGATGATGATGAGGATACACGAGGTGGTCGAGATGGTCGAAAAAGAGATGAAAGGAAAATGAGGTGAGGAAGTAGGGAGCGAGAAAGAGAAGGAGATGGAGGCCAAGTGAAGAGAGGCACGATATATATGATTTCAGGAGGACCGACGGACGGAGACTCGAATAATGCAAGGAGAGGTCATGTTCGAGCAATGAAAAGGAAAAGGGAGGAGGTGGGTATCACGGCCCGAGTGCCAGAGATCAGTTTTCGAGCAGAGGATGCAGCAGGGGTGGTGGTACCTCACAATGATGCCTTGGTAATTACGGCTGAAGTTGCAGGTTTTGATGTGAAAAGGGTGTTTATAGACACAGGGAGTTCGGTCGATGTCATGTTTTATGATTGCTTTGTGCAAATCAATCGGGAGTTGAATGTGGAGCTGAAGCCGGTGGCTACGGCCTTGTATGGCTTTAACGGCGGGGAGGTTATGCCAATGGGAGAAGTGAGTCTATCCGTAGCACTGGGAAAGGGAGCGACCCGGAAGGTTCGAATGGTGAGATTTGTGGTCGTAGGAGCTGAATCGTCCTACAACATCATAATGGGGAGAACGAGCCTAAACGCATTCCAGGTGGTCGTATCCACGTACCACATGACGATCAAATATCCGATGGGCGAAAATGTTGGTGAGATCGCTGGGGATCAACTTACCTCGAGAAGCTGCTACCAAACCACTGTGAGCAACAACATGTAATTAGCAAGAAGGCAGATGCACCCTAAGGGGGAGAAAGTTAATCAACCGGGAGGGTCGAGGTCGAAGGAGGAGAGACATAAGTCGGAGAAGGGGAAAGAGAATGTAGAAATACAGCCGGGTGGCGAAGGGGAGGAGATACAAATGGTCGAGGGGTGCGAAGAGAGGAAATTTCGGATCAGGAAGGAATTGGAGGAACCAGTGAAATCGAGGCTAATTAAGGTGATAAGAGATTTTGCGGATGTGTTTGCATACTCGACGGAGGAGTTGACTGGCATCAAGGCCGAAGTTATTGAGCACCGGTTGAACATCGACCTCACTGTAAGACCGGTGAAGCAAAAAAGGAGACACCACGGGGCAGAAATGGATAAAGTAATCGAGGCGGAGGTAGAAAAACTCTTGGTGGCAGGTCACATAAAGGAGATCCAGTTCCCAGAGTGGCTATCGAACACGGTTATGGTCTCAAAGTCAGAAGGGAAATGGCAGATGTGCATAGATTTTTGGGATTTGAACAAGGCATGCCCGAAGGATTTATACTCGCTGCCCAGGATCGACCAGCTGGTCGACTCCACAGCCGGGTGTGAGCTACTTAGTTTGATGGACGCATCCCAGGGTTATCATCAGATCCCGCTGGCCCGAGATGATTGGAAAAGGGTTAGCTTTGTAACAAGCCGGAGAACATACTGCTATGTGGTGATGCCATTCGGTCTAAAGAATGCAGGGGCGACATATCAGAAGTTGGTGGATAAAATTTTTAAAGATCAGCTGGGAAGGAACATGGAGGTGTATGTAGATGATATGCTGGTAAAGAGCAAAGAGGAAATTGACCATGTAAACGACTTGAAAGAAACATTCATGACCCTCTGGAAGTATGGGATGAAGCTGAATCCCGCTAAGTGCTCATTCGGGGTCAAATCTGGGAAGTTTTTGGGCTACATGGTCACGAAGAGGGGAATCGAGGTCAACCCGGAGAAAGTAAGGGCGGTTATCGAGATGCAGCCTCCCACGAAGGTGAAGGAAGTAAAGATCCTAACTGGTTGAATAACAGGTCTGAGCCGCTTTATTTCTAAGGTAGCTGAGAAAAGCGGGCCCCTGTTTAAGACGCTCAGGAAAAGCTCGAAATTCCAATGGACAGAAGAAGCCCATAAAGCATTCGAGGAGTTGCAGAAGGTGTTGGTCGACCTACCATTAATGGCAAAACCAGTGCAAGGGGAGGACTTGGTGTTGTATGTGTCCATTGGTGAGACGGCAGTGAGCTCGGTGTTATTGCGGGAGGAAGGAACAGCACAATTTCCGATCTATTACGTGAGTAAGGTGATGCAAGGGGCGGAGAGGAGGTATTCAGAGATTGAAAAAGGGGCCTTGGCGGTGGTTGTCACCGTAAGGAAGCTAAGACCATACTTCTTGGGACATAGGGTGAAGGTCCGGACAAATATGCCATTGGGAGAAACTCTGGGTCGACCCTCCGTGTCGGGGCAATTAGTCAAGTGGGAAGTCGAGCTGAGTGAATACACAATTATCTAGGAGCCAAGAAGGGCAATTAAGGCCCAGGCACTGGCCGATTTTATACAAGAGGGGACGAAGGAGAGCGAAGAGTCTGAAGGAGTATGGCAGGTGTTTGCAGATGGATCTGTGTCGAGGGCCGGAGGTGGCTTAGGCATCGTACTTATGTCTCCAAAGGGTGACAGCCTCGAGTTTGCAATCAAAGTGGCCTACCAGATATCGAATAATGAAGCGGAATACGAGGCGATCATTAAAGGACTCAAACTGGCCTTAAGTGGCGGAGCTCGAAAAGTGCAGGTGCATTCGGATTCACAATTGGTGGTGGGTCAATTCCAAGAAGGGTTTGAGGTCCGGGAAGAAAGGATGGTGAGGTATGTGGAGGAGATGAAGAAACTACAGGGAGAGTTTGATTCTTTCGAGTTAATCCAGATACCTCGAGGAGAAAATGGTCTAGAGGATCTGTTAGCTAAAGTGGCACAAAGTCTGGTGGATTGCAAGAGCAGAAATGTGACCTTGCTACATATGGAGAAGAGTGTGGTCGAGAAGGAGGTGGTCGAGATAGAAGAAGTCGAGGATTGGAGGGCATTGATAATAAAACAATTGAAGGAAGGAGCCGTTAAAGTAATAAGGAGATTTTTAGAGCACGGAGAGATTCTCTACAAGAGGTCGTACGCGGGCCCCCACTTGCAATGTGTAACCGGAGAAGAAGGGCGATATGTGTTGAAGGAGATCCACGAGGAGTGTTGCAGCGACCACAGCAAGGCAGGTTCCCTGGTAGCAAAGGCTCTAAGGGCAGGATATTTCTGGCTAAAGATGAGAGAAGATGCAAAAGAGATGGTGCGGAAATGCTTGCAATGCAGAAACACGGCCCACTTATTCACCAACCGGCCGAAGCCATGACAGCGATGAGTTCTCCCATCTCGTTCGCCCAATGGGGGATCGACCTGGTTGGGCCCATGCCCCAAGGAACTGGACAAAGAAAGTTTTTGATTGTCGCGGTCGATTACTTCACAAAGTGGGTGGAGGCTGAACCTCTAGCAAAGATCACGGAGGAGAAAGTGATACATTTTCTATACGATAACATATGCTGCAGGTTCGGAGTTCCTAAAGTGTTGGTGTCGGACAACAGGACCCAGTTCAATGGCAAGCGGATCCGGGCATGGTGCGAGGACATGAAAATTGATCAACACTTCGCTTCAGTCGCACACCCGCAAGCCAACGGGTAGGTCGAAGTGACCAACAGAATTATATTGAACGGTCTGAAAACAAGATTGGAGAAGGCATCGGGAGCGTGGGTGGATGAACTTACTTCGGTGCTATGGGCGTACAGAACAACGCCCCGATCGACCACTGGGGAAACACCGTTCAGTATGGTATACGACATGGAAGCTTTGTTGCCTATAGAGGTCGAGGTTCAGTCCCAAAGATCGACCACGTATGATCGAGAATATAATGAACATCTGATGATGGCAGCACTCGACACAATCGAAGAGCTTCGAGAGAAGGCAACAATCAGAGTCGAGGCGTACAAACAAAGAATGCGAGCAACGCATGATAAGAAAGTGAAAACACGAAGATTCCAGGTGGGTGACTTGGTATGGAAAAGAGTCGCTGTGTTGAAGCATGTCGGTAAACTAGAGCCGAACTGGGAAGGACCATACTTGGTCGAAAAAGTCCATGCTAGAGGGGCATACTCTTTAAAGGATGCAGAAGGAAGATCTCTAGCCAGGTCATGGAATGTGGCTAACTTAAAGAAATATTATGCTTAAAATTTTTTCTTTCTTTTTTACTCATTACCACCAATGTAATGAAATGCTTTGCTCGATGATGAATGAAATGGCGTATTGAAGTTTCTACAATTTACTGTTTACCGAATTAACTTTATATAATCGAAATCCCTGGATTAACCTTGATGACAGGCTGTATGTGAAAAATCCATCACGATTAAGGCCACG